GAAATATAAATAAATAAATAAATAAATAAATAAATAAATAAGATGTATGTAATGGTCCTACTATTAGTTATTTTACTGTATCTGGCCTTATGGCTGTAATAAACTGATTTGATTTGATTTGATATAAGGTGGAAGGGTGAGGATAAAGAATTTACTAGAATGTCTTTGGAAGAACTCTGATTTATTTGAAAAGACAGGTGAAGATGACAGATATTTGTCCATATAGTAACCAGGAATTAAACCTGAGTTGATGATACTTAATGTAACTAACTAAAACTTCTTTATTGGCCGATGATGTCCCTGTCATCAAGGGAAGGCAGATACAGAGACTGTACATTTCTTCTTCAAAGAAAAGGCTGGTGGCCAAAATCAATGGGAGCTCTTTTGTCTGCATACAAGCACACAATGATCTGCTATTTTGTGAGTCTTTTCTTTATAGGCAGGGTCTTCTTTCTCTCGCCTTTTCTTTGCAAAAAGCAGTGAACCAGAATAACAAATGTCCCTCGATAAGTTCATAGTTAACAACTGTTATTGGCTGAGGCAAACTGCATGTGGATAATGTAAACAGCGGCTGCGTCTGGAGAAGGCTTACCCTTTTCTTTATGTTATGCCATCTCCTTGTCTGTCCAAAACCAATCTGAATGATGTAATCTGCCCGATAAAAGTATATGTACTAATTATGCAAATGGGGTACACTAAATTAGCATGCCTGGTCTACATCAATTCTCATTCAAGCATAGAGACGTGCAGAGAGGGAGGTGTGATGGAAGGTCACCTGTCTTAGCTGCTGTGGTTTGTCCTCCCTCTTCAGAAACGGTTCTCCTGTTTCCTGGGATAGGTTTCGTTCCCTGCTTCTGCCAATTGTTCGGGCAATGTTCTTTCTCTTACATAAAGGATCCCTCTTCTGTCCAACTCCCAATTAGCAGGAATTGGGAGTGAAATCAAGGTGTGAAAAAAGAAAAAGAAATGCTTAATTTTGTTGTGAAGACCAAAGTTCTGCTTTGATTTTGCCAGTCTTTATGTCACAAAGCAATGCAACTGCTTTGCTTTAGTCAGACACCAGTGTGGCTAGTACCAGTTTTGTAGCCTATAAACAGGCACTAGTACATGGAACAAGAGCCTATGCAAAAGTAATGTCCAAAGTAATATTTTGTTACTGTGAAATACATCCAAGGAGAAATTAAAAACACCAGTAACTTGTACCACACTTGAAGGTTGCATCTCATGTCCATGTGATTATGGTAGCTTCTCTGGACAGCAAATGTATGTACAAACAAGCAGCTTCCATCATATTTAAATCATTCTATATTATATATCTCCCAACCAGTATGCTTGGCAATAAAGTTGAGTTTACAGGACTGATTGAGTGCACACAGTCTGTAATTCTGACATCTACAACTTCTTGCTTGAAGCAGTTGCCTCATTCTGTATAAAGGCAGGGATGGCCCGGCTTACACAAACCATGTCTGCTCAAATGACTTCCATGTGTTCAGTTGATTGCACTCCTTTGGAATAGTGAGACCCACTAAAAGGAAAATTTGCGATAAGCATACCACACTCATCTTTGCTTAACATCTGATGTTCAGCTAAGAAAGCATCTTATGGAACTTAGAGTCAAGAGAACTGAAAATAAAAGCATCAGAGTTGTGCCAAGTTTAATGACTCCCATAAGAAACTAGGCAAATTAACAGGGAGAGCTAACAGGATTTTGCCTGTGAAGTAAGTGGGGAGTTTCTTAATAAATGCCCCCACCTCTAGTCAACAAGCTATCCAGAGTTGGGAACAAGAAACAAAAGCTAATGGATATAACTCTGCAATTGTGACTTGCAGTGCTTATGACACATTTGTACTCCTGCTGGAAAACAACCTGACATAATTGCTGCAAGTGATGAGAAAGTCAGAGCATTGGAAAAGTGAGTGGCCGCACTTCAGAATGAAGATTCACCAGTTCAAACAAAGAGGGTGTTACAATGGGAGATAATGAACAGAATCAGCCAAAGGAACAAGCCCACAGGATAAGCATGACAACCAGAAACAAGAAATGTAGAATATATTCTGCACTGCTGTAATTCATAAAATGTTTTGTAGCAATTGCTGTAGAACAGTTACCCTCTTCTAAACAGGAGACAGGACAGTAGCTCTCTATAGAGGTGTGCCAACCAGACCAATCAGCTCCTGAAGTGTACTGTCTGTCAGGAGCACACATCAAAGATGTAATAGAATAATTCCAGTGATGGTTATATTTCCCACTCATCTATGTGAGGATCAAAGATACAGTACTGCCAAAAGCAGCTACAACCTATCATGGAAAATTCCAGGAAAAAGGTTTAACGACTTAAGGTTCAGGTTCTGTCCTCATCCAAACTTCTAATCCATGGAAGAGGTCTGGGAAAGGAAAGCAAGAATCAAGGAAGTGAAAGGCTAGCAAAATATTATAAATGGAAGAAATTTGATTCATGGGCCCATGGTCTGCATTATCTTGATGATGGACTGCTGGCATAAATGGATTGCACCTTACAAGAGCTGGTCAAAATGTGATTAGCTAAAGCATAGGAAGCTGGATTAGGAGAACTTAAATGAAACCCTGAGAGCACTGGAGATAAATACCTTAAAATAAGGATTTCAGATGAAGACTTGTACAATATAGAAGGAAGTTGAAGTGTTACTCTTAAGATGTCTATTGATTTAATCAACATCAGTAAAAGGTCAGGGAACATTGACTCATAGAGTTCATGGCATTTGTTGTTTGTACCCTAATGCTTCAAGCATGGGAAATAAAATGAGCTTGAATTACCTTTTGTATAGGCATATAAATATAAAGAGAGGATCATATATGCTTGACTTGATACTAACCAATAGGGAAGACATAGTCAGGGAAGCTGAATTAGCAAGAACCTTGGAGGAAAGTGACCATATAATGGTGGAGCTATTACTATTAAGGGAAACTAAGGGTGAGTTGATTTTGAAACAATGAATCTTAATAATTTCTGAACATGTATTAGGAGTCCAAAACAAGAGAAGCTAATAAGAAAAAAAGCTAAAACACTTTTATATACCTAATTTTTAAAAACCTCTGGTGAATGGGTGAAATGCCAGATGACAGGAGGAGGGCAAATTTTGTTCCTATCTTCAAACAGCAGGAAAAACAAGATTCAAAAAACCAGAGTCAGCCCAGTAACAACATTTGGGAAGATCTCAAATAAAGCAATTTAAAATAATGTAATGATTATTAGGAGTCAGCCTGAATTTGTCGAGAAAAAGTGTTTGCAGACTAACCTTATCTTAGTTTTTTGACTGGATAAATTCCTTAATAGACTATGGGAATGCTATGGATATAATTTACCTTGATTTTAATAAAATGTTTTCCATGGCATTCTAGTCAAACAGTTATTTAACGGGGTGCTGGATGTTTATGCTGAATGGCATGGCAATTAATTGGCATGAACACTGAGTTCAAAGAATGTTCCTCATCTGAGTGGAGTGGGATGCAACTGATTCAATCCTGGGTCCTGTACTAATTTTATTAATGATATGGATAAAATGGTTATGAACATTGGACACAAAATTGGGAGGAATAGCTGATAATCTGGAAGAAAAAGTAAAATTAAAACAATCTTGGGAATAATACAATTAAATTTAACTGTCAGCACATGAACTAAGTTTAGTTTAGAACCAATATATCTCTGGGTACATTAGGGCAAAGACTTTCTTTTTCACAACTTTTCTATGAGCTTTCTACCCATCCTACGAAACAACTAGGGACTGCCTGCTAAGAGACCCCACATACTAGGAGGTATGGCAAGAGGAGGCTCAGTGGTGGGCTCCTCTGTAGCTGCTCCTATCCTTGGGAATAGCTCATCTCTTGAAGCAAGGATGCCCCTTCACAGCCTCATGGAAACAGGTGAAAACCCTGGCTCTTCAGGGATTAATGATAACCACAGCACTGTTTTCAATACATTTAACATTATTTTTATCATTACTTTAAATCAACACTTAATAAGATTACAAATTTAATTGTTAAATTGACTTGTGTTGCCTTTTATAGGTAGTCCCTGGGTTAAGAATGCCTGCTTTACAGACGACCCATAGTTAAGAATGGAGCCAATTGTAGCAAAATTCAAGTTAAATACACAATGGTTCATTACACAATACTAATACAGTATAATACAATAACACTGTTCTGGCTTACATATAAATTCAGTTTAAGGACAGACCTTGGGAATGGAACTTGTTCTTAAACTGGGGACTACCTGTATAGGTAAGTTCTATAAGCCATTTAGAGTCTTTCTGGTTTCAGGCAGTAAACAAATCCCAGAAACAAAAAGATAAACAAACAAACAGGCAATGGGGAAATTGTGCAGTTGGTTGTTTACATGCCAGTGTGCTGACAATCCCAGTGGCCAGCTGGGAGCCAATTTAAAGATAAATATACAATTGAAAGCAGAACTTTTCCTCCTGGGACTGGTGGATAAACAGCTGGAAAAAGTCATGGAACTTTGTTTTTATATATGATAACCACAGCAAGATTATTGTGGGCACAAAGATGGAAAGATTTGGCAATACCTACAGTGGAGGAATGGTTGGTGAAGATGATAGAACTTGCTGAGATGGCAAAACTGACCTGTTTGATTAGAGAAAAGACCATATCTACATTTATTGCTGACTGGAAACCCCTTATGGACTTTTTGCATAAAACAGAAAAAA